TTTATTTAAGAGAGCGTAATTTTCCTTATCTGTCCATCATGTGAAATGTTAGTAGCTTGTCTTACCCTAGAGGAAAAATATTCTAACTCTAAAGAATAATGTCACATATTTTTTCATTGAATTAGCAAACATGGATCAAATCCACCAGCAAGTGCCAGCATAAAGTCTTAGGTGCTGCTTTTAGCTTTGCTTCTTGTAATAAATTTTATATTATCTTAGCATCCCCAGTAAGAACCACATGCTAATTAATGTAAATTGCCTTGAATTGTTCAAAGACTGGGATCAGCAGGGACCAGTCTAGGGGTCTATATTCTATGTATCACATAGATCATGGTACAGAATCTATCTAAATATTTCTAGATATGTAGGTTAAATAAGGAACCGTAACCAAATTTATTTGGATTTCTTTACTGTTTTCATAGTAGTAATGATAACTAGCTTAATTAGGAAACTGTCTTTATTGGATTTTTAATGATTTCCTTTCCTTAAACCCAACTACTATGTTTGACAATGATTGAAAATATAAAAAATTGCATAATAATTCTATTATTATGCAAAATTATGTAGTCAACAAGTTAAGAAGCCAGATGGATGAGTTAAAGAAACTTGCTGGGTCAAACACAACTGTTAGTTCATTCATTCCTTAAGAGTACCAGTTCAATTCTGGTTGTCAGCAGACTGTGCAGCTATCACCGTCTCATGACTTTTATGTAATGCTCACAAGGACCAAACCTCTTGGAGTTTTACAGACATCTGCCCATGTAAGATTTGTACACTGTCAACAGCCAAGGAAAGATGTCAGGACAGGTTCTCAGAAGCTATTCAGATGAAACTCAGTAGTGCTATTCAAAATGTGTTCTGTTCACAGACATCTTCGCAGCTTTGCTTTCATTATTAGGAATGATGAGAGGCAAGGGGTAAGGGTTCACTCTTCCATTTGTATATTAAAAGCCCTGTGAACTCAGAAATTCGTATTGTTTGGATTTCTTTTTTTTAATTTCCCCCCCCCCCAATCAAAATTTATTTAGAATATTTCCTGTAGCTGGGGAAGAATAGGACAATAAGGGAGTAGAGCAGTGTCAGTTCATGGAAAATTACACTGTGGTCAAATGCATGAAAATACATAGACAGGGCAGAAGTTTTCTCTGGAAATGAATGTGAAACTGTCATGTCTTTATTTCTCATGATTTTTCAAACCTCATCTTCTGCTGTTCATAAATCATGTGGTTGCTAATTTTAGCTCTGTGAGGTTGAGACCACTCAACTGTTTTACCCAGTAAGACGTTAGTTTACAATAAATCTGCTCATGTGGTCTTCAAAACACGTTAGAAAATGATAATTTTGATTATCAACTGAGAAATTACTACCAAGAAGCTGATGCCTAAATATGGGAAATGACTTATGCTGTACCTATCTTCTAATATGAGCATGTTTGTTGCTGGAGATTTTATCAAACACTTAGAATCTGGTTTAAATATTCAAAATAGTATTTTAAATAATTCAAAACTTTTAAAAACATTTTTTTTTCCTTTTGAATGTGAAAAAAAGAAGTGGTATTAGTCTCTTTATGCATGTATTTTTTTTAATTCTCCCAGAAATTCTGTTTCTTTCCTTTGACAGCACCTGAATTATATTAGTTTACCCAATATAGGAATAGGTATATAACACAGGATGGGATGATGTGGTAAGGAAGGACCTGACCAACACTGAAACCACATATGTTTTGTTAGATGTTCAAATATCAAAATAAGAAAGTACATTTCTCTCAGTCTAAGAACTGCTCATATTTTAGTTACTTATTACTCATTGTTGACTTGTCAAACCGTATTGCCCCAGATGTATTTTAACATAATACCTAAAAGTGGGAGAAGTCACTGACTTCAGTAGAACTAATCAATAACCCATAAATATGAGAGAACCTTGTTTATGTGACCTGCAGGTCTGTTATGTGACCATGTTCGAGAAGGCTTTGAAGTGTGCATTTAAATTCCAGGCTGTAACTAATCTGGAGTGAAATTAAACATATATTGGAGTGCTTTTTTCTGAATGTGCAGAGTGTGCAGTTGCTGCTCTTGCGTAGCTGTCTCGTTCTGCCAGTGCATAGGTCTTAACATATGAAGTCTTTGTCAAAATGTGAAATCCTGACTTTCTCCCTGTAGAACATGGCATACTTTATGATCATTGCCTGTTATATTGTTCAGGCCCAGGCAGACACAGAAATCAGAACCCATTTCTAAGAGGTCAACTTGTTCTGCATCTGAGGTCTGTATGCACTGGAGGCTGAACCTCCAGGGGTGGCACAGAGGATTAACTAAAATTTAAGTTGCCTAAACTCAAATCTTCATCCCTACAGTCCTATCCAAGGTGGAGCACTGCACAACATGTGGAATCCAAAACTTCAGGTCAAAAATACTTTTTACAAGAGGAAACACATCATTGCTCATACAGTGCCTGTGTATTCCCAGGTATATAAATATAACAAAATAATTGTCTGTAATGTAATGAAATGGGTTAAAGAAATTCAGACTGGGGAATCCATTTTTTTCCCCACTTAAAAGCACTAGTCTCGCAGACAGTTCCCTGTTCTGCCACTATGTGGTCAGACTTGATGCTACCTACAGAAATCTTGCATTAGTTTGTGTAATGCAGTTTATACCTGTTCATTTCCTCCAATTTCCTTATATAGACAGAGTAAGAAGAAATAGTTACATTCTAGATGTCACAACATATTAAATTATCATAATATTTTTCTTAGCTAGTGTGGGTTCTATCCGATAGTGGTGAGATTGTATGTGAATGGGTTCATGTCTCTTGATCAGAGAAACTGTCCACCTAGATAAAAATTCAATTCTCTCTTGCTCTTTCTTCTGCTTTTCTTCCACAGGTCTACACTACTGGCAGTAGTGACAGAGGCTGGAATACTTTTTTTACCATGTAAGTCCAATTTCACTGGTTCATTTTGCATAATTCACTAAATAATGCTTATGTAAAACCACGAATTTTTAAATTATTTTGAGATAGATCCTGAATTTCAAGCTAGAAGAAGAAGGTTGCACATTTTTCTCTTGCACATTTCTTCATACATTGTAAACATCTCCTTGGCCAGGACCTCTCCTTCCTGAGGAAATATTGAATGGCAGGCTTTGAGTGGGATTTTTCACTGACAAGGCTTCTGTCTGTGACTTCTAAGGAAGAGGAAAAAGCAGACCACAGAGGAAACAGTAAGCTGAAAAAAATGCAGTAGCAGAATGAAAGAAAGACACTGAAAAAATGAGTAAAGAGCAAAGAAATTAATTAAGACTATTGTATGAGAAGGGTGACATAGCCCTCGAGGTGGGCTAGAGATTTTTTACTAGATTGACAAGGATATTTTTGTTTTCTGAAGCTTTTTTAGAATTAGTTTTTGCCTAAACAAGGGTTTGGTAGTTTCCAAGAATAGAAAAAGTCTGGTATTACTTATTTCCTGTGTGTTTAAAGACAGAATCAATTCACGATTTTGGGTGTTGGTAGCAGTCAGTGGGGCAATTCTCTCGGTTTCACTGATGCAATCTTAGTTTGCTGGTAATTCTTCTCTCTTCTCCTGTTTTGCTTTTGTGTTTGTGTGTGCCTCTGTGATTGTGTTTTTGTGTACTTGTTTGTGTGTACTTGTTTATGTGTTCAATCCAAGAGTCAAAATAAACACTTTAGGAATAAGAATGGCAAGGTGAAAAGTTCTGACTGTGTAATGCTTGTAAAAAATGGAAAACAAAGATGATGTTCATCATCAAAATTTTCAGTAAAGACCCCTGTAGTTTAGGTCCTCTCTTTCCTCATCCTTTATTATTCCTCTGAGACAAAACTACTGTTTCTTCTCAAAAAGATCAGGTTAAGGGAGTTGTGTAAAGATGTTTTAGTTTGTATTTTCTCATGTTGTGTTGTAAATGGTGCTTTATCACTCATGATGAACAGAGCAATAATTTTTTAATTAAAATCAATGCAAAATTTCTCCACTCTTTGGATGTCCCCTGCTTTCTTTTATGTGATGCCTACCTCCAAGTAGGTGTGTGAAGCAGAACAAAATGAAACCAAGCCCTTTTTGAGGTGTTAATAGCATTGCAAATACTGAAGACTGTTAATACAGAGACAGGCAGAAACATTTTTCACAATAGATACATGCACTTCTTGACAAGTCCTTCTTCAAGCACTTAAAAAATTTCACTGCATATCTGAAACAGCAGTAGTGGCATCATACAATTAATGTGGTCTTATATTATGAACAGTGCTTCATGTCAGTATGGTAATACCAATACTCTAGCTGTGACATTCTTGTCACTTCTCTGGAGTATGGGTTTTCAGCTGATTTTTTTAACATAATGTTGCTGATTTTGGTGTATACAACATCATACAGATAGTACACAGACTAGCTGGACTGGAACAGACAGAGCTTTCCATATAATATGACAGCTGAAATCAGTAGATTTTTATTGCCATTTCTTTATTAAATGCAAAGTACATAAAAGAATAAAATCTAGAGGTTTCCAATACAGAACAGTTAGGAAATGCACACTTACAGTGTCCCACAATCAAATGCAGTTGCTGCAACTTAACTTTCTGAAGACTTGCAGTCTACTACAGTTGTAAAATCAGAGAGGCTACTAAGCTTTTAAGATGTCTGGAGTTGTACCCAGCATCTCACTAAATATCAGGGTTATTTGCAGGGTTATATATACAGAAGAGTGCAGTATATACTCAGCATGCAACTAGATAGATTAGATGTTTTATCAGAAATACTAATCCATGTATAACAAGATGCAACACAAGAACGTTGGAATCCTGAGTCACAAAACTCCATTCTATGACTCCATGGCTGACAGTATAAGCTATGAATGCTATTGTAGCTGAACTACAGCAAGCTGCTAAAATTCGGTGTGGAAATACCTCTTTTACCGGTATAATCATTTTAAAAGACTATTTGAAAACTAGATATTATTACACATATCACTTGCCCAAAACCCAATCTATTAGGCACCCCCTATGGTTTTCCTTATCCACTGGAGGTATTGGTTTGTGAGTCGAGTGTAGACACCAGGGCCATCAACACTACCACACTTTTTCTTCCCAAAAGAAGTGATGCCTCTCATCACATTATTGCATCTTAAAGGTCCACCAGAATCTCCCTAGGAAAAAAAAAAAAAAAAGAAAAAAAAGATCATTCAAATTAACAAAAGCTAAAAAATGTTTCTTTTAAATTAAATTTACAGCAGTGGCATGGAGAAAATAAAAATGTAGGCAGTGTTATCATGGTTTTTTCTCCTTAGAATTTAAGATTTTCGATAGCAGAAAAGAAAAAAAGACTTAAATCTGATCTTTCAAATGTAAGTGAAGGGGAATAAATTTAGCTTAGTGTTAAGGAAGAGTTAGTCTTTTTGAAAATGAAGAAGAAAAGCATGAAGTCTCCAGAAATTGATGCCTTTCTTTTTTGGTAACTTTTAAATGCAATACTTAAATATTTTAAAATGTGATAGTTCATACACAGTTCTGCATTTAACTTGGTGCCCAGTGAAAATACTTTTTATCAGCAAAACCTCTTTCAAAGCCCTCTGACATCAAATAATTTGTTCCACTGATGTCAGCTGCTTGAGAATGGGCTCATAAATTGTTTTATGGAGATTTTAATATTTAACTCATTTTATTGAAGACAAGAATAGCTATCTGCCATGCCTGGATAAAGTTACAGTATCCAAAGTCTGTGAAGATGAAATTACTCTTCAAAAATTTTGATTTTAAGGCTTAGAAGAACAAGCATTGGTAAACTCACTGATATTTAATAAAATTCTTCATTGAACTAGAGAGAGACAAAAATGGTAAATGTGTAAAAGCTAGTACTTTATATTTTATTTTTAATATAATTTATGCAGATATACACAGTAAATATACTTACATCACATGAGTCCTTTTTTCCAGCCCCTGCACATATCATGTTCTCTGTTATAACAGGTTTGCCATTATAATGATGTTTATCATTGCAGACTTGCCTACTGATGACAGTGATATTGACTTCCCTCAGGGTAGCAGAAAGCATTTTCTGACGATTGTCAGTTTTTCCCCATCCTGCTACTGTGCAAATTGTTCCTGGTTTGGGGTCATCATCTGAAGTAGGCAGGGGAATGAGTTTCACAGCTGCAGTAAGTCTTGCTCTTTTGTGAAGCTGTAGAAGATGTGGAAAATAGGTATTATGGGGCAGAGTCTAACAGATGCCCTTGCATGTTAACCGTTGGATCTTTCCCATTATGGTAATGGAGGATTACTGCAATCCCTTCTTGAGATTCCTCCATTCTTTGTGACAGGATTTATGTCATCATAAGAATGAGGAAAATGGGTATTCTTTGTCTCATGAAAAACCATTTAGCTTCTGCTGAAATATTAGCTCTAAAAAATATTTTACTTCTCTGGTTTTCAAACCCCTGAGAGAATAAAATAACTGTCATCACTGGTGTTGACAAAACTGAGAATCAGAGAAGTCAGGCATTTTTAATTAGAACTGTTTTTCAGACAGAACATTAGGGTTTTTAACCAAACTTCTTAGCTGTGCATTTATCTTTATTCTTTCACTGAAAAGCCAGAAACTGAAATATCTTGATCAAGCTCCAGAATTTATCTACTTCTAGCATTGGCATGCACAAGAGAAATTGTTGATTGCATTAGTTACCTGGGCATCCCTGGGTTCTCAGTCTGATGGATTAGCCAGACTATATCACCCCCCCAAAAAGTCACCACTAACTGCCTTGGCTCCTCTCCCTCACAAGAAGGAAGAAAATGGTACAACGTAGAAGATGTATATTACACAAGTGTTGTATAAGTCTATACCTGTATCAGCATAATGTCATTTTCCTTGGAAATGAAGTCATAGCATGGGTAGGGAATTTGCTTTGCAATCTGGAAAATCTGTGTTTGTTTTTCAGTTGCTTTCCGTGAATGAGCTCCAAGAATAACTTTGCCTTCTTTCCTGAGAAGAGGACAACATGATTAGTGGGATTCACTTGCTGTAACTCTGTACATTTTTTGCTGTTACATGTGGTCCTATAATGTTCAGTTGCTGTAGTCTCTTTTCTTGTGAAAAACAACAGCAATTTAGAAAAATATAAAGTATGACCCTATTTCCACAATAATTAAAACAAAAAATGTTTCAGTGAATCAAAGTTCATGCTATCCTATTTCCAGCTTCCCAGGAACTTGACTTTGGATCTATCCCTGTTGTTTCCCTTTGGGAACTGAATGAGGGGTGAATGCATTAGCTTTACTACGGGTACTTGTCTCACCAACTGTGCCTTCTGCAACTTGTGCTGAAAATTTAGAAATAGCTCACTGCACCGTTACTTCACAGATCATCTTGACTGGTCTGCATTGTGTCATTGCTATGCCCTAGCACCATTTCAACATAATTTTCTGAATCTATGTGACACACACCTCATTCCTTTTCTCTAACTATTCTGCAACTTCATGTACTTAAAAGACGCAGAAGTGGTGACAGAGTTGTGCCTGCTGAGGTTCTCTGATATAGAAACCACAAGTCTAGCACTCCTTGGTCAAGCAGTCCAAGCAGACCTTAATATAAGACTGCAGGTATAGCTATTTTTGGGCGAACAATGTATATCTTACAGCTGAAGGGTAGCAGAGTAGATGTGTATATTGGCCCTCATTTGTGTTGTACTGTGGAAAACATAACCCTGAGAAAGTGGTTGCTCCTTCAGCTGTGAAGAGTTGTCTGTTGACTGAGCCATCATTAAGTTAACAATTCATTGTATTTTCTCTTAAATGCAGTCTCATTTGAAAATACTCTTTACCATATGTTAATACAATAGCTTTTGGGCCCTGTACAGTAGGTCCCATGTATCTCCCTGCTTGGATGAAGCCAGGAGATACATTTCCATGATGTGTGCAGGGCCCAGTGATTCACTGGCCTTGGTCAGGGTGTCGACAGAGCCTGCGTGAGGTCTGGCTCAGCAGCAGCTCCAGTCCTCCCCACAAAGGCAAGGATGGGTGGGCTGTGTCATTTAATCCTCACTTCTTGCCTGGCTGAGGGATTCTGTGGGGCCAAATATCCATTTGCATCCTGAGTTGAACAGGAAGAAGAAACATTGGTGACAAGCCAACATACCCAGTAAGGCAGAGATCTCTCAGTGTCTTCTGTCATCTCTCTGGAGGATTTTTTCTCCTGTATTAACTGCATGCTGTCTCTTTCTGTGGTGAACTGCATATCTTTTATAGAATAAAGCTACAAGAGTTTACTTTTGTTTACAGAGCAGCAGTTTAGACTGGCCACTCGTCTGGACTCGTGTACTGGTTGACCGAGAAAACAAGGATAAACCTTTCCTCCAAAATCACTGTTTCAGTGTTGCTATTCTGTGCTGGGATGCAGCTAGAAGCTTTTTAAATACCTCCTCAGAAGCAGTGAAGATCAGTATACCTTATTATAATATTTTTTACTCACTGAAGCACATTTGCTGATATAAACTATAAAACACAGTAATCAGAAATTGATCATGATCATGCTAAGTGCACAAAATCACCAGGCATACTAACTCTCTTGAACAGAGATACTCGCTGAGGACAACCTCTGAATCAGAGTAAGAACTTACACCTTGCAGTGGGCAGCTGTTAACACCCAGTTTTCCTTGATCAAAGCTCCTCCACAAACAAATCTTTTTGGTCCCACGATTTGTGCCATAAATGGTCTCGAGTGTGGTGCTACTTCAGTCCCTCCAATGATTTCCACACACAAACCTAAAAATAAAAATAAACCACAACACACAGCTGGGCTAACAAATACTGTAAGACACTTGAAGTCTCTTAGGAAGAATATTACAAAGTATATAGACAGAAGCATATACATATGTCACAACGATGGTCTTCAAGGTACACTTTTAAAATTGCTCATCAGTGCTACTTCATTATGTTTCAATAGGACTGAAATTAGATCAGTAGGATGAGCTTTGGCAACAAGAACACCAAAATACTGTTGCTTTTGCTCATATTTCTTTTCTTGAAGACTGTTGATATGGTTAATTTCTTAGCTTTCACTGTGAGTAATAAACTCAGATCTGCCACTCTTAAATATTGTAGCTGGAAGATAGGTTAATATAGTGTAAGTCACACTACAGAAATTTGTTTTTCAGAAAAAGAGAAGATCAAGAAATCAATGTATCTGTATATCTCTGGAGAGAAAGATCAGGTAATCATTATGTTAACTCCTCAGAACTTTTCCAGATAACTCGTCCTCTTTGCAACTTAATTAATACTACTCATTGAGAAATTTTGTTTGTATGAAAGATCAAACACATACACACAGTGGAAAAGAGCTAATGATAAGAATTCAAATAATAGTTGTGACTACTTCCTTTACATTAATATATATTGACTTAACTGGAACTCTGTACATCAGCATTTACCTTCAAAAGGATTGAACAGGTTACTTACCTCCATGAATTACCAGGAGAATGACAGCAGTAAAGGTGTACAAAGCAAGGAAAGCACCCATGATTTCTGTCTGGTGTTCCTCCTTATTCACTTTTTAATCTCTCTCTCTCTGTGTGTGTGTGTATATATATATAAATAAATGAAAAGGATGTGGGTTTGGTTTTTCCTTTTAAGGATATTTGACATCTGTAACCACGACAAAGGCAAGAAATCCTCCCCAGCAATGTATGTTAGAGCAGAGGGGTTGGTGAGAAATTGTGTCATCTGCTGTGGTGTGAAGACAGGCTCTTCCCTCTCTTCATGTTCTCTCTGTAGCATTTGCAGAGAGCTAGTATATGAATACTGGGGTGAAACCTTGCAAGCCACTATGTATCTAGTTACACAGTATTACTCAGCTCACATAAATTTAGGCTTGATTCAGTTGTCCACATGAAGTCATATAGGTTCATTCCTGAACCTCAGGTGGCTTCCAGGTCAGAGATGAATTCCAGACCCCATCAGTGAGTTACCTGTGCTGTTCAGAAGACCCTCAGAGCCTAGGAATCTAAAGTTTACTCCTTTCAGCATCTCATCCTACCTCATTAGCTTTTCACTGGATGAGATCCATATACCACTGAGTGTGGTTTAGTGGCAAAGAGGTAAGGATATAATGCCATTTAAAATGTCTTAAAGGTGTTTTAGGTCTGTCTTTTGGAGCAGAAGGCCATGGGCCTTCTGTAGATGCTATGGCAGATTGCAAGCCCTATGCCAATGTCTGGAAAACCCACAATCTCTCAAATGTCAGTAAATGCCCAGTTTTAGGCAATTCAGTTTGAGTCCTGAAAACTGGGTAATTGGGCACTGGAACAGGCTCCCCAGGGAAGTGGTCACAGCACCAAGTCTGACAGAGTTCAGGAAGCATTTGGACAGTGTTCTCAGGCACATGGAGTGATTCTTGGGGCTGTCCTGTGCAGGGCCAAGAGTTGGACTTTGGTGATCCTCCTGGGTCCTTTCTAACTCAGCATATTCTATGATTCTATGAATAAATCTTATTTAGAGCCTTTTAAAGACACAGTTCTTCACTTCGAAATATATACCCAAGTAATAGAAATATCTTTCATCAATATTAAATAATTGGAATATCAAGTATTCTATTACTAACTAGGTACATTCAAGGAAATGTCCCTGTCACATAGATTGAAAGGTTTCTTGAAGACTTGAGCCCCACTACAATCAGCCTGCAGAAAGCTTCTGTATTTTAGCTGTGGCACATCTTTGAGCTCAGTTGGCCCAGCCTCATGAGTTTTACCTGTAGAAGACCTTGGGCAGACAGTTTGCTCAAATTTGCTGTTGCTCTCCCTTCTGGAAGAGAGAGTAATTGTTGGAGATTTCCCTGAAAAAGGGAGGTGTGGGTTTATTTTTAGAGATTGTGGAGCTCTTTGTCACAGATGTGTCTTTGTCAAGGCAGAGCAACCTGTGTGATGTGGTGAGAGCTCCATGCACTGCAAAAGCTTTTAATGTTCTTTCATTTTTCTTCTCACTACTGCCACATCACCTGTAACTATCATCACTTTGTAGCACTGCTGTTCTTTTTTACAGTGTTCTCCTGTACACAGTATCACCAGGCATCATAGATACAGTTCTTTCTTTTATGACTTATAAATATTTCCCAAAGTCTGATTTCATGATATTTTAATTAGCAGTTTTACCATATTGAAGCTGTTTCCTCTAGACTATGCATGATCAGGCTCAGCATTTGTGAGTAAAAATCCTGTACACTGAGACCCGCTTATAGTTATATACTCCTGTGTGAGGTGCCTAGTAAAAAGAGGTTTGATATGTATCATCCTGTTTTTACCTGATCTGTTTTCAAGGAAAATCTATTTGGAATACACAGAATAAAATATTAGCCAATGTTACTAGGTGTTTTTCAGGTAAATATGCATAGGCAAATCTATGCCTACCATCTAAAACCAAATTTTCTATAGCCCATTTATATTTTTTTCCAATATCTAAATGTACTTCTATTTACTTCTAAATCTTACTTACTTCTGAAGATATTTTTTCTGTAATTCCCTAGGTATTAGCATACCCATACCTTTTAAAAAATCCCCTCTAGTACTGGTACATTCATTGAAACTGATAATCAGGATTAGGAATATGCAGCCTAAACTATTATATAGTAGCAACTCATCACTTTCTGTGCAAGTTCCTTCTGAACAACCTTTCTGACTGTTCAGATAATCCCTGATGGCACAGGTATTAATATGCATAACCAGCCTCAAATTTTGTACCCAAATGCTTTTGTCAGAGTGTCCTCCTCCAATTTCAGTAGTTGAGGCTGAAAAACTGACATAAAATTTTAGGATGTGCAACAAGTTGGCTGGGCTCCTTTGGTTGTGTCAATAAGTTAATTTATGGTCAAGTTTAGAATTTATTGGCAAAATTATTTACATGCAAAAGGAAGCCCCAAAGCAAAACTTCTTTCTTGAGATGATTTCTTTTATTAGTTCTTCTGCTGCATACTTAATTGGTCTTCAGGAGGAGTAACATGTTGTAAATAAAATGATCCATTCTTTCTCCCTACAGTTCCCACAAAGCACAGCCACTGTCTTGGCAGAAGCCACCATATGAGTAAAAGAACAATGAGTCTACCCAGCTTCTATTTCCAGCCCTTGCCTCTAGGGAAATTTGCTATGGGCTTTAAGCCCATGTGTCAGTGGATCAGTTTTGTCTCTACCCAGTACTATGCTGAGGTGTTCTATCTCTTATTTCATACTCAGTCATTTTGATAATTTTTCTTCTGTAGTGACTATGTTCCTTTTTCCTTCATGCTGCTTTCTGTGGTGCTAAAGGTGAGCATTAGGGCACAAGTTCAGGGGTCCAATTTAAACCGCACCTCTAAACCTTCCAGAGTTGCTGGTGCCTGACCTCAGGCAGTGTCTCAGCTCAGCTGCAGGGCTGTTGCCTTGGGCTGGGAAGGGAGGGCAGGTGAGTGGTGCAGAGTGGGCAGCTGCCAGGAGCACAGCAAGGCAGAGCTATGATGTTTTCTCTGTCTTCTCCTTAGGCTGCCCCATCCTCAAACCCACCCTGGTGTGTCTGGACACATCCCTCAGTGGCTGGGAGACAGACTCCCAGGGACTCACTGGGGAAGGGACAAAAACATATGCTTGAGTATACCTATTTTACTTTCTTCTCTGGTACCAGTGTCTCATAATACTCACCAGGTTGTCTTTTCTGCGTCAGATGTTCATCTTCTCTCTTTCCATCTATTTTCTGTGTGATATCACAGGAAAATGGAGTAGCAGAGAAATATAAGTAGTTGTAGTTAACTCAGAGAGTCCTCAAAGCCTTGAAATAAATCAATGTTACTTCTATGATGTTGAATGTGCTTGGCAGAAAGAACCCAGCATTAGATATTATGCTCTAGAAACACAAGCCTTCTCCTGACTGGCCAGAACATGGGTCTGTTTCTTATTTTGTCTCTTATACTGCTTTCTAAGCTAGTCGTTTAGTGGGAGGGCAAAGTCATAAAGGACTCAAACATAATTATGCCTTCAGGTCCCTCTTTGCAGAGTTAACCTACAGTGGGCGAATAATTCCAGGATTAGATGGAGAATAGAGAGTTACTTTGGGGGAACTAGAGCTGGCTCTTTCAAGAACTGATGAATTCTAAAAGTCACGTGTTTTCTTTTAAAAGAGCTTTGGAAGAGTCTTCTGAAACATGAATTGTGTTGCATTGTGTACATATTTTCAAACTGGATTATGAATAGTAAGATTCTGTACCATAGAAATAAGCATTTCAGTGTTACAATCTCATTCAACAATCTGGAGAGCTGCCATTTTCTAACTCTTGAATAAAAATGAAAGCTAGCTGTTTTGGGCAAGTTAAATTTTGAATTCTTTCTAAAGATACTGAATAAAATAGCAGGTTCCGTAATTTCTTCACACAGGGGTAGACTGTTTTTTTTGTAGTGGTTTACCCACGAAGCATGCAAAACCTGCGTGCAGACACAGAGGTTTGCAATACAGAAGTGTCTTTCTCACCAATTCATCTTTTTCGTGTGACCACAGATTAGATATTTTGTTTGCATTTGATACTTGTGTGCTCCAGGGCTTTCTGCATCTGAAACCTGCACCCTTAAAAACTACTTCTAAGAAAATACAAATTGCTCTGTCTTACGTATGTGTGGCTTCTTTATGTTCTGTGGGTCCTCTTCTTCGGGACTTCTCAGTGGTGAGGGTCCCACAAAATACAGAGTCCAATGGATTAATATACATTCAGAAGATGCCTAGGCACCTCCCATGGGGGGCAAAGCTTTGCAGTGTCTTGCAACTGACTCTGGATTTTTTGCATCACTTGAATCATGTGCAGTCCTCTGGTGGTGGAAGGCCTCAGGAATGAGTCTGGGGGATGCTTTGGGGGTCTTTGATGGTTTATGACCCCTTCTCAGCTGCCTCTCATGTCAATGTCCCATGTGTGCATGGTCTTCCCGGAGAAGGAGGTTTATTCCTTTTATTTTGTGCGGAGAGATTTTGCCATCACACATCAAAAACCCTCCTCCTCCTCCACCTGCTGAGCCCAGGCTAGGGCTGATTCTTAGCACAGCCGCTGAGTTTGGCTTGCTTTTTGGACACATACTACTTTTCTGAGCCTTGTTTACTTCTCCTTAGACCTGAGATAATTGGACAATAGTCTTATCTCCAGTTTCTGTCACAGTCCAAATTCCAGTTGGGAGACATATTTTTGGGTGGTGGTGAGGAAGGGTGGTAGGGTGGTAGTGTGCTTCAGCGGTCACAGACGGCAGTTGCTCCTTTGCAGTTTGACAAAAAGTCTTCCTATGGTTTTGACAATGTCTAAGACATTAAGAACATTTCTTTCTCTCTCACTCATGTATTCATTCTCCCATTTTTTTCACCACCTTGAAGATAGCCACTTCCATTCTTCTCACAAATTTCCTTTTTTGTTGTTGTTGCTGCTTTTTTTTGTTTTGTTTTGTTTGAAGTAAAAAATGCATCAAATTCCCTGAGACATCTAGGTGTTATTCAGGTATTAGGTTTTATTCAGGTTTTTTTAGGGGA